CACTCCCCCTCTCTCCTCCCGCCCCCACTCCACACCTTCTTAAGACCCTTTCTATTTCTTCGACACTAACAATGTGCGGAGTTTTTACTTTTGTCTTCAAATCTTCCTTACCTAATTTTACTCAAAACGACATGAAATCAAAATATTTGTATTTATCAAACAACAAACAACAAACAAAAACGCAGCAGCAGATTATGCTAATTTGGCGTGTTTCTTGAAAGAAACGATGGAGTTTGGCTCTTATAATGTAGACAACCTGGCATGTTTTCTGCATTTACGCGCGCATGGGAACTACAGCATGGGTCTGAGCATAAACTATGGAACCCTGTTTGGCCACTATTTACATTTTATACATTTTCAAACATTATTCAGCTCGTGAGAAAAGAAAACCCACCATCTCAGATGGCCATGTTACGTCGGCTTCGGTGCACCCAAGTGTCACTGCTTATTTTCGGATTATTGACATCACATTTGTATAACGCAATCGCCTCCAACGATAGCAAATACAAACTTCCGAGAGCTCCTTCTGACGTCATCAAAATCGGGGTCATTCTCCCGAGCACCGGAAGCACGCCATGGATCCTTCCCTACACCCTCCCCGCCATCCACATCGCCGTGGATTACCTCCAACACAGGACCGAGATCTTCGGGAACCGGCGAGTCAAGCTGAACGTGGCGGACTCCGAATGCTCGTATATCACTGGTCCGTTAGCTGCTGTAGACATGTACGTCAACCAATCGGTGAACGTGTTTCTGGGCCCCGCTTGCGAGTATGTTGTGGCCCCCGTAGCGAGGTTTTCGCCCCATTGGGGAATCCCCATTCTGACGGCAGGGGCTTTGGTCAGCGCCTTTGGGAACAAGCAGGAGTATGGGCTCTTGACAAGGGTGCAGGTAGGTTCAGTGATTGCTTTTTAAAAAATTTTTGTCCGAATTCTCTCCTTTCTTTTGTCCGAATTCTCTCCTTTCTTTTGTCCGAATTCTCTCCTTTCTTTTGTCCGAATTCTCTCCTTTCTTTTGTCCGATTTCTCCTCCGAATTCTCCTTTCTTTTGTCCGAATTCTCTCCTTTATTTGTCCGAATTCTCTCCTTTCTTTTGTTCGATTTTTCCTCCAAATCCTCTCCTTTCTTTTGTCCAAATTCTCCTTTCTTTTGTCCAAATTCTCCTGTCTTTTGTCCAAATTCTCCTGTCTTTTGTCCAAATTCTCCTCTCTTTTGTCCAAATTCTCCTGTCTTTTGTCCAAATTCTCCTGTCTCTTGTCCGACTTATCCTATATTTTGACCGAATTCTCCTTTCTTTTGTCCTAATTCTCTTTTCTTTTGACCGAATTCTCCTTTTCTTCGACTAGAAATTGATTTCTTCCTTTCTGGAGTTTTATCTAAAAAGACAGTAGTATATCCAGTTTCGGAGGAAAATGAGTCATTGACTACATTATCTGATAGTTTAAAACACGGCGCACATTTCTGCTGTAATCTGGTATCGATATTTTGATTCTTTTTTACAAGTTGGGAAAGACATTTTAAATATCTAATGTTTGTCTGTCAATCTCCTATTATATTTGTCTG